GGTAGATTAAAAGAGAAGAGATAGAGGTATAAACTGATAATTATTAAAACGATAGTCGGTAGGCGGACAATTAACAGCTATGGCGTTATGGTAAAATATCGAATCCGCTATATGTTTAGTTGACAACCCAAAACCTGATCATTTATTTTTTTGAGCCTATAACAGTTTACTATCATATAAACTAGGGTTATTTGCAATAATAACAAAAAAAAATCTATAATTAGAAATCTAAAAAAACCTTAGAGAGAGATAGTGAAAAAAAAGAAGGATTTTGGTTAGTTTGTATATTATAGTTTTTTTGTTGTATTTCTAACAAATAATCTCTATAAACTATAAATAAGTATACTTTTACTATTTTTATAACTGGAGTGAATTGAGAATCGCAATTCAAACTAATATGCTATGTATAAGAAAATTGTAGTTGCTGTATTTGCTTGCAACTTGCAAGTAAGATTAATTTTTGAAATAAAGATGATAATATACAGTTTCAAAACTGTATGTCTCTTTTTTTGTTTTGTGTGTTAAAGATATCACTCTTTGAAAACTCTCTTCTTTTACTTCTTTGCTCTTTTTGATAAATGTTGTTGGTAGTTTCCGGTTGTATTCAAAACTTACTAAAAAAGATGGTATTGAACTATTTATTAGTGTACAATCCATACTGTAATTTACATGTTTATAATATAATCAGAGCATTAACTCGTAAAATCCACTTTTTCTGTGAAAAGGTCAAAAACATTGGTAATTGTTGTAAGTTGTACCACCACCGACTAAAGTTTTCTTAGTGCAATCAATTCCACTCCCACGTACAGACAACAAATGATCAAAATGGCACAAAGATTTAATGCGTACTCTAATCATATACCTAAAGACACTACTAAAATGGGTCCAAACATTTTGATGAAAAAAGCTTTTAAGATCCTCATGCCTAGTAGGAATAATGTAACACATTATCAATTGTTTGCTTGCTATTTTATTTGAGATATATATGTCCGATCAAAGCTCTATTTCAATTTTTATATGGAGAAAATAATGAATACAAATGCCTTTTCTGTTAAAGTGAATTAATGTAGAATTTAAACCTATTTTTTATACTGGAAATAGGAAGTTGTTGTCATATTTAAAGAAAAAAACTACAACCCTAGCATCAATCTATAAACTTACTTTTTCGAAAGTACTCGAATGTCAAAAATCATTTCATCACATTAACTTATAAACAAGTTTTTTCATAATTTAATATATATCTCGACTTTGAATTGAGCAAATTATTAATTGGGTGGACTTTTGAACACACACTAGGTACATCCATTAAAGATTTTCACACCTCACCATGACACCTACTAATTTTCACTTTAAATTACTCTCTACAAATGTCAAAACAGTTCACTTTTCCCAATCTTTTCTGTCTTTTAAACATGTATAATTGTGGTAGTTCTCAATTATGAATTCTTTTTGTTGTGGTATTTTACTAAACCAAGTATGTTTCATTTGTAATAATTCTGATTTCTTTTTGTTGACTAAAATATTCTAGATCTAAGTATGTACAAGAGCAGAACATGTAATATGATTTTTTTGTTTCAAACATAATTTTCATTTTCATTTCCGGATTCAACAAACTTTCAATCAACTAAATCTTCTGTAGTTGCTTGTTTATATTCCATTTTTCGTATATTCGCAAAAATTAGGAAATAAATCTTAAGAAAAAACATTGACAAAACGACCACCAAATTAGTCTTAACCAAGAAAAACATATGTTGATGAATACTCAATCATTGGTTTCAAAAAAAGAAAACAAAAATCAAAGGGACAAAGGGATAAGCATGTATATGCAGCAATTTTTGTGGCCCAAACAACTTTAGTAACTATAATAAAATAAAATATCTCAAAATAGGTTTGCAAATTTTTTAAAACAAAAGGATTCATAAATTATCTTCTTGTCATGCAAATGAGCAGTACTAGGAGTAATTGAGTAAGGAAACAATGTTATTGAATAAGGCAATATTGTGAACAACAA